CACCTTTTTTTTTTTTTGTTTTTTTTAAAGATGAGACGTGTCGAAGATCCCTTGTGGGACGCGGGCATGGGCTTTGGACCGGTGCGCAACCGGCGAACTCAATTAACTTTGCCGTGGGAAGAGCAAGCTTTTCGGGAAATGTCCCAGACAGTGCCAGACGCATTGAGGCAAATGCAAGATGAGCTGCTAGCCTTACCGAGCCCTGTGCCTCTGCCCAAAGTCGAAACAGCTCCTCAGCCAGGACAGACGCTCGTGCAGACTTTTCGACCAAGGCTACGGGCTACAGCGGCGTGGACTACCGTCGACGCCCGGGCAGAGCGTCAGGCTGCTTTGGCGAAATGGTCTCAGATTTTGCGGGCAGTGCCGAGCTTGTTTGATGCCACCAGTCTGTCTGAAATACACAACGAGCAAGAGCAGATTGAGCTAGGCATGTTAGACCTGTTCTTCAGTCGCAAGTCCACCAATACGTTGAATAACAGGGCCAGTGTCCTTCGCCGTTTTGCGGCCTGGATGTTGAAACATTTCCCTTCCGAGCCAGTGTCGGAGAGTATTCTTTTTCTATTTAGCAAGGACATGGCTTCCAAGCAGTCAGACACAGGAGTGCCAGATCAATTAGTTCAGGCCATCAACTTCACCAAAGGCACCATCAAGTTGCACCTGCCCGCTGAGGAACTCATATCTGCAAGGGTTTCAGGCTTAGCTCACCAGTGCCTGAGACGGAAGAAGCCTACGGTGCAGAAACCGCCGTTAACGGCAGACCAGGTCCGGTGGCTTGAAACAATGGCGTCCTCCGCCGACGACCTCTACGATAGATTTGTAGCGTCTACAGTCTTACTCATGATCTATGGCAGGGCACGATACAGCGACCTTAAGAGAGCCACAGCAATTCTTGTAGACATCCCGGCAGACCAGACGAAGGGGTACATAGAGTTGGAAGTCCAGGACCCCAAACAGGCTCGGGCAACGAACAGACGCAGGATGATGCTGCCCCTAGTCGCTCCAGCCCTGGGCATTGGTGAGTCACCTTGGGCAGCGCAGTGGCTGCACAACCGTCGTCGTCTTGGTTTGGCGTGCAATGGGCCATTGTTCGGACAGCCTCTTCTACCAGAGCTCCTGGCCGATGGCAGTCTCAGCAGCGGCATGCTGTCAACCTCCGCTCTGAGCAAATGGACGAGGGCTCTGTTGGCCAGACAGCCAGACGCAGACATGGACAAAGTTATAAAAATCAGCAGCCACAGCTTGAAGGCCACAGGCCTTTCTTGGGCTGCCAAGAGCAACATGCCCATCCAGGACAGGACGCTGCTTGGGCTGGGTGGAAAGGTTTAGGCCTGGGGCCCGTCAGCTCCATACCAAACAGTCCCCAAACCCCAGAGGTCGCTGCCTGCGTTGGTCACTCGCGATCTGCTTATGGAGACATTGGCAACTATGCATATGCCAGAGTGCGTGGGCATATGTTTCCGAACATGTCGGAGTTCTCTTTGACTATTCCAGTTTGCACGGGGACAGGCCTCCCCAGGAAACGTGCCTGCTCGCTCGCTCATGGATCATCACGAGGATAGCTTGGGGAGCCATTTCTCATTTTCCTGTTTTTCTCATTTTCGTGCTGTGTCATTCCCAGTGTCGGGCGCAGCAAGGGCAGGACCCGTGCCCTTACGCATCATCTTCATGGTGTTTTGCAGGTGTGCCATTCCTGGTGTCTGGCGTGCCTTGGGAGAAACTACCATTCATCTTCATTCATGAGTCGGTGGGGTGTTCGTAGCATCAGTTCATGCCAAGCCAAAGTGTGTTGGGGAGGCTTCGCGCCCTGGGCCTCGCGTGATGAAGTGATAAGCTCGAAAAGGCAGCAGGAGAACAACGCCAAGCGCGTGAGGTTGGGATGTCAACATGCAGGCCGCCCGTGCCCCAAAACCCACGACTTCAATTGATGCTGAGGTTGCAGACGAACTGAGTGCTGTATGGATTCAGGGCTTTTATTTTGCGGCTTACAGTGCCTGTAGAGTTAAGGGTTTAGGGCCCGAGGGCATTGGCGATCAGGAGGACTTGCCTCAACAATTCTACCACGCAAGATGCTCGATCGACGCCATAAGTTGACGATTGTGGGGTTCAGGCTGCTTGGTCTTCAAGAAACAGTATCGCTGCTCAAAATCGCGCGACCGCCGAACACACTACGGCGACTGACGTTCCTTGGCAGAATTTCTTGAGGTAGAGATGAGGTTCTCATCTTCATAGATTCCCTTACACAATCCGCTACGTTGCTCAGGACCCTTCAGTTGCATATCACATGTGGCCTCGCCATGTCTGAGGTTTGTGGCTGCTGCTTCTGCGTTTCCCGGCCATTTATTTGGCGGGAAAGGCGGCCGTAGGATGTTCCAGAGCAACAGCCACAAAGGGGCAGTTTGCCGAAGCGTTTTTGGTGCAGTTCTGGTATGCGCAGTGAGCTGGCTTGAGGCTTCAGCTCCTCCGTTTCCTTCCCAGAGACTTCAGTCGGACAAATGCAACGCCGGCCCATGTGCGTTAGCCTCAGGGTACTAGTTTTTTTGATTTTCTATGATTCGAGGGGCGCCGTGTTTTTTTTTTTTGCTTAGCCCTGGCTGCAAGGGTTTCCACAGCCACGGTTAATGCCTCTCATTTGTGCAAGAGACAGACCGCCAGACGGTCAGACGGTCGGACGGTCGGACGGTCTGACGATCGGACGGTCGGACGGTCGGACGGTCAGACGGTCGGACGGTTAGACGGTCGGCTGGTCAGACGGTCCGCGCGGTCAGACGTTCGACGGTGAGACGGTCGGACGGTCAGACGGTCGCGCGGTCAGACGCTCGGACGGTCAGATGCTTTGATGGTCAGACGGGCGAACGGTCAGACGGTCGAACAGTCAGCTGCTTAGACGGGTCAGATGGTCGCGCGGTCAAAGCGTTTGAGACGTTTTTGAAACCCATCATGCAGGGGGGGGGGGGGCTGCGCCCCCCCCAATCCTACCGCTGTTTAATCCGCGCAAGCTTGTTTCAAAGCACATGAGCCGCTTTGACACCCTCCCCTTTTAAAGCTGTGCAAGCTTGTTTCAAAGCATGCGAATCGTTTTGAAACCCAACGCGCGAGCATTGAGTTTCCCCCTGTTTTGCCCGTTTTTCCACCCTGGTTTGAAAGCCGGGCAAGCTTGTTTCAAAGCATATGAATGGTCTCAAAGCATACGAACGATTGAAACTCATGATGCGAGCATTGTGTTTGCAAATGGGGAAAGCCGTCTTTATAAGCCATGCAAGCTTGCTTCAAAGCATGTCTTGTTGAAACCCAGCACGCGAGGATTGAGTTTGTAAATAGGGGCACTGTGCCCCTCCCGCAACCCCCCCACGTTTTAAAGCCGCTCAAGCTTGCGAGCAACATGTATAACAATTCCTACGAAAATAGTGTGAGTCCTATGAGAAAAATGGAGGTTTGCAAAGGAAGAACCAAGAAACTGCGCCACTTCCTATGAAAATCTAGAGGGAATGGAGATTTTCCGAGGGAAGCCAAGAAACCCGACCAAAAAAAGGCTCAAAACAGAAAAGAAGAACTCCCAACAGTTGTTCCACCGTTAAATAGCCTTTTTTGAGTCGTGCAACGCCTAAGCAGCGGTTGGCTTAGTGGTTCTCGGTAGATTTTTTCACAAAGCATATGAATCATTTGAAACCCATCATCAAACCGCCCCCCCCCCCCGCTTTTTGAAGCCACTGGCCTCCCTCAACCTGCCTGCCGCTTGAAGCCGTGCAAGCTTTCTTCACAAGGCATATGAGTCTTTTTGAAACCCATCATGTGAGCATTGTATTTGCAATTGGGGGGGTCACCCCCCAGCCCCTCGGCTTTTGAAAATACAGTGCAGCCAGAAGTTTTCCATGGGGGGGGGGCTATACCCCCCCAGTGCCGCCCGCCCCGCAATTTTGTTTAAAACCGTGCAAGAGCCGCGCAAGCTTGCTTCAGAGTCCCAACCCCCCCCACTTGGTTTAGCTGTGCAAACTTGCCTCACAAAGCACACGGGTCTTTTAGAAGCCCATCATGAGAGCATGGTGTTCGCAAATGGGGGGGCTGCGGCCCCCCCCGCCCGCTCGCATCAGGCATGGACGGTCGTCACGGAGGGCCCGAGTCACAAACTCCCACAGCCACGGCTACGCAAAAAAAAGCGCTCCTGCAAAGGCCGGCGGTGTTTATTTTCTGCTTAGCCCTGGCTGCAAGGGAGCCCCACAGCCGCGGCTAGGCAAAAAAAAACGCTCCTGCCAAGGCTGGCGGTGTTTTTTTTTGCTTAGCCCTGGCCGAGAGAGACAGCCACGGCTAAGCAAAAAGTACTACGAAAAGTTGCACAGCCACGGCTAAACAAAAAAAGGCTTCCGCCTGATTCGAGGTACTCTTGAAGTTCAGAAGTTATGATTGTCGTCGATTTCATACAAAATTTATGATTTGTTTTATGAAAAATATAATATATGTTTTCTGTGGACTTTTCAAATTGCATGAGTGTTGTAGAATTTTATGATTTCGTCAATTTTGTCTCATTTTCCTTGGAGACACAAACGCACAAAACCCACCAAAACTATAAAACTTTCATAAAGAGTCGATAAAATTTTCCAAAAAGAAACGAAAAGCATTCTTTTTGCACATTCTTGACCCCTGGCCCTCAGCCCTAAACCCTAAGCCCTTCAACCCTAAACCCCTAAGCACAAGAGTCATGAAAGTGCAGTCGCAGCCGGATAGCACACTTGAGTCCTTGTGCCTGGAGCTGCTTAGAAGGTTCGCCCGAAAGTTGGGGGTTTAGGGTTCTTAGGGCAGGGGTGCAACCTTTGGGCGTGAGGGGACATGAGCCACCAGCCTTGGCCAGCTTAGCTTGCGTTTTTGCTTCGTTTAATGACGACCCGAAGCCGATTTAGGGAATATAGTCCCGAGCCCTAAACCCTAAACCTTAAACCCTAAACCTTACAACCCTAAACCCTAAACCCTGAGCCCTACACCCTAAACCCTCAACCCTGCTGCACGAGGTCCCGAATTCCGACAGATACCTGGCACAGCGCTATCCGGAGGAGCTGCCCGATGCGTTTAGGGTTTAGGGTTTAGGGTTTAGGGTTTAGGGTTTAGGGTTTAGGGTTTAGGGTTGAAGCACTAAAGGCCCGTAAATCCCGTATAAGACCTCAAGTTTCGATGGACTCATCTAAACTCTTTAGCCTAGACCCTAAGCCCTAAACCTGACGGAGTTGAAGTAAATTGGCTCCTGGTCCAGAATCCAAAGCGGACCCAAAAGGCCCATGGGCCACGAAAAGTCCCGAAAGGCTTGGAGGCTTCAGAAGGGCGCCGCACGGCAACTTTTGGGGGGGCTCCAGGACGTTGGACGAGATTGGCATTGGGGGCTGGGAAACCTGGCAATGTACAAAGCTCGGCACCCTGAAACCTGTTGGGCCCTCAGCCCTTAGACCAAACCCTGTGGCGCTGACCTCGAAAGGAGTTCCCGGCTTACGCAGCCAAGACTGCTACGCTGATACCTGGCCTACACTCTGAGCTGGCCAGCAAGCATCTGGGCAGAGAGGTTTAAATCTAGGGCCAAGGTTTAGGGTTTAGGGTTTAGGGTTCAGGGTTAGGGTTTAGGGTTTAGGGTTTAGTGTTAGGGGGTTTAGCGTTGAGGAGGTCATGCCCTGCAAGGCATTAGTGCGTTGGAGTATCAACGTCGGAGGAGGTTTCGGTCTGTACCATTTCGGCCAGAAAGGCTCCTATGTTTTCCCGCAGCCATGCTCGTGTTTTCTTGGATGAGATGCTTTCTCTTGGGTTCTTTGGGGGATGCGCGTGAGGCAGCTTCTGATATCTACAAGAGCACCAGCACATTCGATTAGTTCAGTTGAGAAGGCTTGACCCTATGGATGATTGTGCATATTGAAGGAAAGTGGTGGGCATTGCAGTGCTTGATAGAGGGTTGTTTGGCTCGGGCACAAGCAAGATGGTTTCGGGCCGCAATAGCTTGCGGAGAAGGCAGGAGTTTCATCACCATGATGTAGCAGTGTCGCCCTAAATTCTGTTGAGCATCGAATGCCCAGCTAAGGATCCTTGCATGGGCTTGCTTGGTGGTCTGCGTGTACTTGTGGTGCAACACCTGCTCGGCTCCATGTGGCCTGTAGCCGGAGGATACCGCAGGACGATGGGGTGACCGGTTCTCGTCGGAGAGACCCTCCCCAACTGTCTGTTGTCGGGTTCTTCTCGCCTTCGAGCTGCTGAGACGTTGTCGAGAAGTGGCGCGCTGGATCGATTGGCCAGATGGGGACCCTAAACCCTCTGGTTTGCCAAGTGTTTGCCATCTCGCAATACCCTATCAGTTCGCGAGGCTTAACGCAAAAAAGAGGCGTGCGGTGTGTACATGGTTTCACATGCTCGGTACGCAATTGCTGAGTGCATTGTTCCTTTGCCGTCGAGCGTGGCACTGCCATCAGGAGGTATCTTTTGAGAGTATATGTGAGTGGCGCTCACTCGAACCCTCTGCAGGGCAAGCCAGTGCAGTCGCACCCGATCCTCACGGAGATGGAGTTTGAATTCACTGACCAGTCGGCGCTGGGGGCCAAGGAGCTCGGCCAGCCACGAGCCACAAGCCACGACCCACAAGCATACCATCTGCACTGCGGTCCTTCTTAGCCCGACGCCATCACTTTTTCCAGGACTGTTGTTGTTTGGGTCCGAGCCATCTAACTAGCAGGCGCTGTCTCGTTACCTTTCTGTGGCCATGTGCCTTCCCATGCCTTCCCACACCCTCTCTTGACCTAAGGTTTGAGAAGGAGCTGCTGATCGAGCCGCGGAATGGCCAGTCTCACTAGCATCCGTGCACAAACCTGGCTTTGCGCAATCAGCATCATGTGTGACCTTGTGAGGACATGTTGAGGACCTTGATGCAAAGAGTATGCATGATGAGGGTGCATGATAAGGGTTTTTGGTTTAGGGCCTAACAAGTGAGCAGTTCAGTAGCAGTTCGAGCATCGACTCTCGAGCCCTCCGCGACGTCAAGCGGCCCGTGGGAAAGTCATGTCTGGACTGTATTGACAGTCATAGATTACGTAGTATGCTCGCTTTCATCTGTCTTGATTCTGGTTATTCTGGTGAAGACGAATTCCACAACTGCTACTACAGCTGTCATCATTCGTTACAACTTGTTCACTTGTGAATGTTTGCTATCTCATTTGTCAAAATTTTCTTGGTAATGTTATTCGTACTCATGGTCGCTTCCAGGGTTCGACTACGCTGGTCTGAGAGCACCACTCCGGGTGGTGCCTCTCACGTTCACGGCCGCCTGCGTGCGCGCGTCGTAGCCTTTTCGGGCGCGGCATCTTTGTGGTCAATGCTACCACCTTGTCTGTGACGGGGGCGTTGAAGAGTCCAGCCTTTCGGGTTTAGGGTTTGAAAAGGTTCATGTGCAGCTTGAATAGACCACTCCCTGAACCGTTGAGAGGTAAAGCTGAAACGCATACCAGGTAAGGCTGGAACGCCTACCAGGTAGCCAGAGGTTCTCAACTTTTTCATTGTCGCTTCTAGATATAAGGCTTGGTATGATCGTTCTTCTTTGGATCATGTTCCGTTTTTTACTGTGCAATTGCATTTTGTATTATCAAGGGTCTAAATTCGATTGCTTTTGTCACTGCTTTTGTTGCTGTTACTTAAGTCGCCTTCTGTTTGCGGTGGCTATCGCAAGCTCATCCAAGCACGTTCTCAAGCCGCGGGCTTCGTGTCTTTTGGCCCAAGGGAAGGGTTTAGGGCCTTTAGGCTTTGGGCTTCTTATGTTTCTGGGTCGAGGCTTTGCTGATGAGATCTGAAGCTTTCTGAACCCCTGTCATCGGACCAATTATCGATCAGTGCCGCCCCGCTTGCTGCTCAACATGAGCGTGCACAACTGCCTGGCTTTTCTTCAAGGGAAACAGTGGAGATCCGCCAGCCATGCACTAACCCCGAATCTAAAGCGTCATATCTCCGAGCCTTCATTCCCTGCGGCCCCTTCAGCCCTAAACCCAAGCCCTAAGCCTAAAACCCCATTTCGGGTTTGGGCCGAAGTGTAGTCGCAGTTGAAGTTGAGCTGGAAAGGAGGGGCCAGAGTGCCCGTCACGGTCGGGCCGCGGAATTTTCAGAAGCCCGCAAGGGCCTTACATGGTTTAGGGTTCAGGGGACGGGGCGGGGTCAGGGCTTTGTTTGCGGTTTCCTTGTGGAAGCTTGGGCCATATAATTGATAAGGTGCCTGTTGGCTGTACCTATAACGATAACTTTGACTATAACAACAAACATGAATGAACCTTCGAGTTTGATTATGTACCTAAAGCTTCAGAAACTCATGTAAAACCTTAAGTGCGCAACAAACACACAAAATGTTGCGTCGAGTTGCGCAGTGATGTCGGGTTTATGGCATTACGGATTCACGGGGAGCAATTCGGGCTTCCCCTTCACACTGAGCGTCACACGTCACAGCTCCATAGGTACAAGCGGTTTGATCTAACATGTTGGTTTCTCTTGGGCCTAGTGGAGCCTTCCAAACAGGCCCGTAATTGTAAACGCTTGCGCGCGCCGCCTCGGCAGCCGGGCCGGCCCCGGACAGGAAAGGAGATGCAAAGAAGGGGAGGTCCGGGGGTCGTAGGGAGTTTAACGGGGTTAAGGGTGTTTGAGGTCCAGATGAGGGGGGGGGTTGGGGGGGAGGGGGGTGGGAGGGGGGGGGGTTGGGGTTGGGGAGGGGGGTGGGGGCGGGGGGGGGTTGCAAGGTTTTGCATGGGAGGAAGGGTGGGTTAAGTGGAAGGAGGCCCGATCCGGGTCTGCTTGCTCCAGACGCTTCTCGGCAGGAAGCCGAGGCGAATTTAGATCAATGGTCCAGTTGCCCCGAAGCCCTCACCGTCGAAAACGACGCGAGCTCCGAGGCGACCGATGCACCCGAGCGGGAGAGATCCCCCAGGTTCTGGGGCGAGTTCAGATTAGATGAAGTTTCCGGCAGGTTTGTTTGAGGGGTTGCACCTAAAGAGCCCTGAGCCCTAAACCCTAACCAGCCCCAAGACAAGTCAAACGCTTGAATTCAGTATTGTGAAAGTTCCGAGGAACCTGCAAGGAAACAGGGTGTGGCGTTGGGGTTTAGGGTTGTGAAGTCCTGCGAAATTTCCTTCCCGGTAGGCCGGAGCAGGAATGGTCCGAGCACAGATCGGAGAGGCAGGCGATGGTGATTGCGGAAGTCATAACAGCCGTGGGCTGTGATTTTGCTGTGATGCACTGGGTGAAATGTAGTTCACAGCCAATGGGCGTTCTAGTAGTCGCCGTGGGAAAGTCGTTGTTTGTCTGATCGGAAGCATGTTTTGTGAATAGTGCGGTCATGAGCAGATCACAGATAGAAACTGTACACGGACAAAAGGCCCTTCCAGAATGACTCCCCAGTGCTGCGGTCAGACGCTTGCTGTGCACAAGTGCCAGTCGCCAAGGTCATATAATTCTTAGAAGACATAGGGGGGTGGTCCGAAGATAAGGGTACCCTGTTGGGGGGGGGGGGGGGGCTCCCATAATCAGATTGTACTATCTGGGGATAGATTAAGGGTACGCCTATTGGGGGAAATGCCCACAACAGTTTAAATGCAAGTCCAGGCAGAAGAGCGAGTGGCGGCAGGGCAGGTCGGCTTCCCCACAGATGCGTGATTCCAAGTGTGGGGTTTAGAGATGTTTAGAGTGCAATTATGGTTTACCTTTACATACAGACATATATATATATATATGTATATAGAGTATATAATCATGAAAGACAGCATAGGCATATAGTATCTTGTAATGCATACTTGAATGAATCTACATATATATGTATGTATGTATATATATATATGTATACACTGCAAGACAGGAGTAGCAAATTTGTTACCCGCATCCTCCGGCTCATGCTATGCTGAGGGAGCGCGAGTGGTCGGAGCGGAGTTCGGAGAGGCCTCGGAATTCAGATGCAAAAACCAGGTCCGTCGGCTCGAGTCCAATTTCCTGCCGCTGTCGAGGCCCTTACGCGCATGGCCCGAGCCCAGCCCAGAAAGGCGCGGTGGTGAGAGGAATGCCGTCCCGAATCTAACCTTCACTCACATAGACTGGCCTATTCTCTGACAGTTCTCAGGCATCTTCATAGTCGGGCTAAAGCCCCCCAACTCGGTAAGCCCTAAGCCTTGAAGAGCAAAGAAAACATCCAGTAACTCCAGCAGCCCTGTAGGCGCGAGTCTGACCGGTCTATGTCGCGCCCGCGACTCTACAAGGAGGGCCCAGGGTGGACTTTGTTGCGGCCATTTGGAGCGATTTCCCACGCAGGGTTGAGCGTTTAAAGGGTCGGACCTATCTTACGACCCCTAAACCCTAAAAAATTTGCTTTGAGGGGCTAAGCGGGCCAGTCGCTGGCCAGCCTAGCCACTGTTCTTGCTTTCAAATGTAGGCGGCAAGCACCTCGTAGGATTCTGCGATCCAGATATTCCAGACCCCTGAGTCCCCAATAGGGTTTAGGGTTTAGGGTTTAGGGTTTAGGGTTTAGGGATTAGGGTATGTTTTCCAGGACACGCCTGGTCTGCCTGCAGCGTGGCAGAAGCGCAGGCCTATCGATGTTTGCGCCAGATGCCTTGACTGCCAAAAACTCGGCACAACCCTACATCCCTACACCCTGTACGTCGACAAAGCTCTGAAGATCCGCAACCAAGATTGACAACGCAGTAATAGACATAGTAGTAGTAGTCGTAGAAGTCGTAGTCGTAGTCATAGTAATAAGGATACTATTGGAAACGAATACAAACTCGAAATCCCCAAACCCTGAGCATTAAACTCCCCAAGAAAGCTGAGCCCCCTCTCTCCCCTCGCAGCAAGGTAGCTACAGTCTGAGCTTCAGCATCCGCTGGCCCTGGCTCCCAAACTCCACACCCCGATGCTCCCAGACCCGACTTGATTCCGAGCACCCTCATCAAGCCCCTAAGCACGGAGCCCTGCGCCCTAAACCCAAAACCCTGCGCCAACCTCAGGGCGGTAAGCCTCTCCCGGTCCCAGCCCGCGCTGGGCCTGCGGCGAGACTGGGAAACAGGCCAGCGCTGAAGGGGGGGGGGGGTTTAGGGTTCCGGGTTTAGGACCTGAGCCTGTTTCTGACCCTGGGGCTTAATGCAGC